TAAATTTATCACACAATTTTACTAGCTTTCTGCCCCTAACTGCTCTCTCATCGTTAATTAAACGTGTTGCCTTTTACAGAATGGATGTTTATACATTTCCAATATAAATAAATTCGAAGCCATCCTCTCTCCCTCTCTCTCTGTGTCTCTCTTCCTCTCCCTTTGGTCTCTCGCCATTGGAAGGCACTTCTTCGCATGGGCCCTGAGTGGCGGACCTTAAAAATAAATGAAGTTTTGAGATGCAAATCCAAACATGAACATTAAATTAATTCCCCCCCCAACCCCGCCCGCCAAAGAGATCTGGAGAGGTATACAAGGGTGGTGGGAAATAAGTTGAAAATCCCACCCTCTTGGAAACAGAAATAACTTAGGTGGGGTGGGGGCCCAGGGTGTCCTTTCAGCCCTTCCCACCTCCCTCGGTGGCGGTCATCCAGGCAGAAGCTGTTAATAGTTTAACATATCGGTGAAGACTGACAATAAAAAGCTGACTTTGTTTTTGGGGGGTTGCGGAGAGGGGTATATTCCAGATGGACTCCACCCACATTTAGTTTCCCCTGTATTAGAGGAAGGGTGGCTGCTCTCTGTGGGGGTCGCGCCCCTGGCTGCGCGACCTGGTCCTTTCTCCCCGTATAATAAGAAAAGTGCACCCGCGCCTGGGTGTAACGATTCTATCTCACCTCCGGCCAACGATTTATTCAACCACGGGCATAGTTTGACTTGAAGGGCGAGAAAGAGGGCACCTGCTTTCTCCCGCGCCTGGCGAGGTGGGCCATTCCAGCCTTCCGAACACGCTCACCGTGCCCCTCCTCCTGTGTTGACCACTTAAGAACCCAAATTGAGTTGTAATTAATTTCCCCTTCTTCGTCATAAATTGTTTCATCCTCTTCTTGTCTCCCCCATCCCCATCTCACCCCCCAGGACACACACACTAAATCTCCCCTCCCCCGAGACGTCTCAATTTCCTTCCTATCGATCCGAACTCCACTTTTCTTGTTTCCTGTTGCTAGAACCTCGGTCCCCTCCAGCACCACTACCAATCCCCGCCCCCAACGGACCCAGTCCTGGTGGTTTCTGCAGCTGGGTACCACGGATTCTGCCCACCCCAGGAGAAACGGAGGGAGCCTCATTACATTCTCTTTTGGCTGAAACGTTCCAAACATTTGAACAGGTGAGACAGCTGGCTGCCATCTTCTTTAAATCCCTTCTGGGAAGTTCGCTTGTTGTGACCCAAATAATCACTCTCATTCATAATAATTGTTTCTGCCTCTGTTTTTCATTCTACCTCCCCAGTAACCGAGATTCAGAAGATGTTTTATCCACATTTCTCCCCCACCCCCATATTTCCGTTCCCTCGATCACATCTCCCCCCCCCCCCCCAAGCGTGTCGCTGTCGCTCTGTATCTGTCTCGCTTCTCCCATCTCTGTTCCAAAGTTGGCGGTAACTGACGACCTGTGGACTTTCAGCCGCTAACTGGGATCATGCGGCAAACAGGATTTACTAAGCCCGGAATCTAGTTGGCCTAGGGCAGGACCCTGCACCGTGTCCGGCTCGCGCCCTTCCGCCCTGGCGCTGTCCCGCAGTGATGGCAGCGGGAACCTTCCTGCCTCCCACCTGGACTGCCGCTTAACCTCCTTCCCGCCACGGCAGGTTGCGCGGCGCTACTGTCCGCCCAGAAGAAGGAAAAGGGCGACGGGCTGCCCAGCCTAGAGCTGTTGGGAGAAATCCGCCGCCTCCGCTGGAAATCGATATCAAGCCGTTGGGCCGGCACCGGCGCAGGACGTCGGGGGCTCAGCCAGTAGGTCCCGCACGTCTTATCATTTAGCTAATCGAGTCGAAAAGTTTCTGTAAGGGCCAGACCCGGCATCAGATGGTAACACTGATTGAACAAGAGATTAACACAATAGATCTCTAACCGAGGGGAAGCGTTGCTTTTCACGCTACGTGCAGTAATTAATGGTATGAATCAATTAATTTGACTTTTATTGTGTCGAAAGAAAAAAGCGCAACAAATGGAACTGGCGGCTGGGAGTTGTTCACCCCCACCCCTTTCCCCAGGGAGGTACCAGAGAGACACGGGGGAATGGACGGATCGGGCCAGGTCTTGGCCGAGGGAGGCTCAGAGGCAGTAAACAGCGGCGCCGAGGGAGTGCTGAGAGCCAGCCCTGGCGGGCCGAGGAATTGAAATTAGGCTCATTTGGAGGATGCTTCAAGAAGACTGCGGAGGGCATCCCCTGGAGCCGCTACCCTTCCGCGCGTACACACACACGTGCAACCCGTCCACGCGGGCCCAGTCTCCTAGGCTGCGGTGGGGCTCCTGCCGGCCCGCGCCTGCCTCTGGGGCTGGACAACCGAAGCTGAGCAAAAGGAATTTGTGGATTCAGTTTCTTTTACGTGCCCCTCCGACGTTCTTTTTGTAATTATTGGGTTACTGAGACAGTTTCACCCGGGACCTCCGCTGCCGAGGGACAGCGGGCAGCCAGTTCGCCGCTGCAGTCGGTTTTGCGGGAAGCTGTCTAAAAGGTATTGTAAACGGTTCGGAGCCTGCGGGCCACAAAGCGGTGCAGCTGCGGGAATGAACTCAGATGCATTTTAGGGTCAAGTGCAACCGGGGTATCATTTAGATACAGAAAAATCGTGGAGTTTCCTGGGCGTCTCAAGATGGAGGAACTGCCCCGGCTTCAACCAGAGACATCCTGCGAAGTGGGGGAACCAATGTCCTAGTGTTTTATCCGGGAAATTATCTAATGAAAATTGAAGTCAATCTGTGTGTCGCACTGCCTATAAGTGAAGCAAGTTTACGTATGTGTCCAGGCTAAGGAATGAGAGAGGTGGTAGATGAGAGAGACACAGACAGGGAATCATAAGTACTACTGTCCTCCAGGAAATACATCCAGTTTCTTAGTGTCTTCTGTAAATACTGAATTTCACTATTTCTTCTCAGACTATCTCCCCTTGTGCTCCTTCCTCTGGTAAGGCCTGCACTCCCTTCTCAGGCCTCGGTGGCCAGACTGGGCTTGGGTTCCAGGAGCCCTTAACACCCGGCAGGCACTCGCGGCTCGCAAGGAGGCTGCCTAAAAATGCAGGAGGAAAAAAGCAGCGCATCGCGGCTTCACCAGGTCAGAAGCACTATTCCGAAGTGCTTCCGAAGTCCACGCGCCCCAGCAATGTCACGCATCCGGGGTCGGTTTGCGCCCCCCACCCTCCATCCCAGTTAAATGCCGACAGTTTCCTACCATCACTGACTTTCCTTGCCAAAGAAACTCGGTGTGCACTGGCCATATCCTCGCCTCCTCCTCCACCTCCTCTGTTGCCGGCCTCTGAGGAACTAAAATCTTGGAGGGTTTGTCTATACCCTAAGAGGAAAGAATCCACGTTAGTTAGCCGCAAGGAGACTCTAGGTCGTCAACAAGCCCGCTCCCAGGAGGCTGGGCCCAGAAGCCTGAGAAGTCACACCGCCCGCTCCCCCTGAGGTCAGCCATCCCAAACAGGGCGCGGCGTCTAACCTAGAGGCCCGAAGCCTCTTCCCGTCCCCACTCGACTTACCCAGGCCGCTGCCAATGCCGGCTCCTTCCCCAGCGCCTCATTTCCGACTTTTTCACATGCTAAGTCGTTTAAACAACTCCGAGCAGCTAGTTGCGGCTTTATTTATAGGTTCTCTGTTATTTTACGTCCTTTTTATTTCTCTCTGCAACTATTCTGATAGATTAATCAATAGCCATTTTCTGACCTTCGGAAACCCCAACTGATGCTGCTGTGGCCGAGCCGGGGTGGGGGGGATATGTTATTACACACACATACATATAAACACGCCCACATCGAGCCAGGAAACCGAAGACAGGACCCTGTGGTTTGACTTTAGGGGAGGAGGAGCGCCTCCCCTCAGCAGGTGTCTCCGCCGACTCTGCACTGAGGCAGGAGGGGCTCTTAAGTCTAATTAGCAAGACAGAGCCGGGGCGCTGCCCTTAATCTTTAGAGCTAAAAAGAATTAAACACACACACACACACACACACACACACACACACAAGACCGAGACTACTAAGTTTTTCTTTAAAAAAAAAAAGGATGTGAATCTTGTCCTACATTCTATGCCTAGGGAGCTTTGGCAAAGGGCGGGTGGCGAGCGGGGGTGGGGGGGGAGGGAGAGGGGGCGGGGAGGTCAGGGAAGCAGAGCCGCGGGTCCGGCGGGCGCTCCCCGGCCCACACCCTCCCTCGCTCACACGCACCCACCCTCACTCACACCCACAGCCTCCCTCGACCCCCTCTCCGGGATCCAGCCCAGGGTGGGGTCCCAGGGCGGTCCCAGGCGCCCTTGGGCCCCGCGGGATGCCGGAGCACGGTGCGGCGCGGAGTTGCGCGTCCCTTGTCCCTTTGTTGACAATTCTCTCGACCAACTTGAGTTTGGCCGGCTCCGCGGCGGCCCTGACGTCACGCACGGTCACGTGGCCCCGCCTCCCGTTGGATCTTTAAGTAGAAAGTAATCTATCAGGCCAGTCCTTAAAACGGGACTTTCGACTGCGGGGGCTTCGGCGTCCCTGACACCCCCCCCCCCCCGGTTGCCCCTGCCCGCGCCCTCCCGAGCTGCTCGGCGCCCCGCGTCCCGCGCCCGCCTGCACCGCTCCTGCTCCCCACGCCCGGGCCGGAGGCAGAGGAAGGCAGGCGAAGTGAGGGGGTGCGGCCGGGAGAAGCTGTCGGGCCCGGGCCGGGTCCGGGGCCGCGGCCGGGATCAGCAGCGAGCGCCTAGTACCAAGCGCCAGGGACAGCTGGAGTTTCGGAGCGCTGCCACGGGGGGCGGACGGCACAGCCCGAGTCGTGCGATGCCCGGCCGCCGACTGTGAGCCAAGCCGGGAGGGCCCCGGACCACCTACGCCCCCCTCCCCTCTCCCAATCCCCTGTCTTTCGGGGGCGCCCCAAACCCCTTTCCTGAGGTTAGCGGCAGCCCCTGAAGACGCCCATCGCGCGCCGCTCCTTCCCCGCCGCCGCCACCAACCCCGAGGAGGGATGACCCTCTCCGGTGGCGGCAGCGCCAGCGACATGTCCGGCCAGACGGTGCTGACGGCCGAGGACGTGGACATCGATGTGGTGGGCGAGGGCGACGACACGCTGGAAGAGAAGGACAGCGATGGGGGCTGCGACAGTCCCGCGGGGCCGCCCGAGCTGCGCCTGGACGAGGCGGACGAGGTGACGCCGGTGGCACCCCACCACGGGCAGCCTCAGCCGCCGCACCAGCAGCCCCTGGCACTGCCCAAAGAGGTGGCTGGAGCCGGGGCCGGGCCAGGGGGCGAGGCGGGAGCATCCGAGGCCGACGGCTGCAAGAGCGGCGCTGGCGGCGAGGAGGGCGGCGGGAGCGGTGGCGGGCCCGGCTCCGGCAGCGGTGCGGCGGGCGGCCTGGCCCCGAGCAAGCCCAAGAACAGCCTGGTGAAGCCGCCCTATTCGTACATCGCGCTCATCACCATGGCTATCCTGCAGAGCCCGCAGAAGAAGCTGACTCTGAGCGGCATCTGCGAGTTCATCAGCAACCGCTTCCCCTACTATCGGGAGAAGTTCCCCGCCTGGCAGAACAGCATCCGCCACAACCTCTCGCTCAACGACTGCTTCGTCAAGATCCCCCGTGAACCGGGCAACCCGGGCAAGGGCAACTACTGGACCCTGGACCCTCAGTCCGAGGACATGTTCGACAACGGCAGCTTCCTGCGGCGCCGGAAACGCTTCAAGCGCCACCAGCAGGAGCACCTGCGTGAGCAGACGGCGCTCATGATGCAGAGCTTCGGCGCCTACAGCCTGGCGGCGGCGGCCGGCGCCGCGGGGCCCTACGGCCGCCCCTACGGCCTGCACCCTGCGGCCGCAGCCGGTGCTTACTCGCACCCGGCGGCCGCGGCAGCAGCGGCGGCGGCCGCGGCTCTCCAGTACCCGTACGCGCTGCCGCCCGTGGCCCCCGTGCTGCCGCCCGCCGTGCCGCTGCTGCCCTCGGGTGAGCTGGGCCGCAAAGCGGCCGCCTTCGGCTCTCAGCTCGGCCCGGGCCTGCAGTTGCAGCTCAATAGCTTGGGAGCCGCCGCGGCCGCCGCAGGCACGGCGGGCGCCGCGGGCACCACGGCGTCGCTCATTAAGTCCGAGCCGAGCGCGCGACCGTCGTTCAGCATCGAGAATATCATCGGAGGGGGCCCCGCGGCGCCCGGGGGCTCGGCCGCGGGCGCTGGGGGCGCTGGGGTAACTGGGGGCACCGCGGGTAGCGGAGGCGGTGGCGCCGCGCAGTCCTTCCTGCGGCCGCCCGGGACCGTGCAGTCGGCAGCGCTCATGGCCACGCACCAGCCTCTTTCACTGAGTCGGACGACGGCGACCATCGCGCCGATTCTGAGCGTGCCGCTTTCTGGACAGTTTCTGCAGCCTGCAGCCTCCGCTGCCGCTGCTGCCGCCGCCGCAGCTCAAGCCAAGTGGCCCGCTCAATAGGGACGCGCCGGTGGCCGGGATGCGGGGCCTGGCGGCGGCCTGGAGTCTCGGCTGCAATTTGCAAGCTGCGCGCCCCGCCCCGCTCCTGGCCCCCCTGCCCAATCCTGGACTCTGCCTCTCTTCCATTTCCTCCCCCCCGACCCCTCAACACCGACCTTCGGCGGCCTCCACCCAGTCCTGCACACCTAGGCTGGCGGAGCAAACTCTCACCGCGCGCCCGCGGGGAATATCTTTCCGTACAGGTAAAACAGAAAACCGATTTTTCCAAAACTGTACCCGGACGGCGCCTGCTCTCAGTACCTGGGGGATGAGAGGGAAATTCTTTGTACATATTTGTATAAAAATTATTGACTTTCCTTTTGGGGTTTTTATTTTTTTAAGAAAAAAATTCAGTAGATTTAGAGCTCTGAACTTTCATTTTTTCTGAAGGTTCACTCTCCGCAGTTTTATGTGAGAAAGAATGTATAGAGACGTTGGGAGATTTTAAATATAAAATTTTCAGAAGACGAAAGTCATTCTATATAAAAGTCTGTTTATATATAATGAATATATATGGTATTCTAAATGTTATTCCATCGTGTTGTACACAACTTTGTAAATAAAATTTTTAAAGGCTCAGCTTAATGTTTCATTTAGGTGTCTAAAGTAAATGACAAGATTTTAAAATAATATTTGCATTTTATTCTTCCCAGATGAGTTTCAAGGAATGACCTTTTCAAACTTTGCTAATTCATAATTTGAGTGTAAGAAAATTTTAATTGGAAAAAGTATGCCTAATTTAAATTGTACTAATATTTTCTTTTAGTTTTCACATAACATGGGTGTGTGGGTGAGTTTCTCCCTATCAATACATTACATCTAAATGACTAGATATTTCTTAAGATAAAGTAAGCTGCCATTTTAAAAACCAACCTAATTCTAAACTTTAGCACAATTTTAATTATTTTTAAACATCAGACTTCATCTTTCACAATGGAAACTTTTCCAAATGAGAGTTCTTAATCATTTCAATTAACCTTTCAAAAGAATGTTAATTCCAAACATTTCCCTCATCTTAGCATTTAAAGCCTTGATTTTTTTCAAACTATTTTCTTCCTCTAAGTGGAAGTGGTAATAAACCCAGTTAACTTTTTAAATATATGTAATGGCATTTTAAATTTTGTAGTGAAATAGTATTACCTATATTAACCTCATAGATGATACATTATTGTTTGTTCTTTCATAATATTTTCAAATAAGATGCCTCTTTTCTATGGCAATAATCAATCCACAACATAATTTCGATATCTGAAGGGTTCCTGTAAATGTTTCCTTTCTTACCAACCCGCAGCTTTTCCAAAGACCAAGAAATATCCTTTAACATCCTTTTAAAACAGATGCACATCACCCGTTTCTTAAACTTTAAAAAAATACCTTAGGCTAGTTTATATGAAATGAGAGATCACAAAGCAGGAATGGGGAAATGTCCTTGTGGATTATTTTTAATGTGCATTTCAGCTGTTGCAACCGTAAGTATTAACGTAGAAATGAAACATCTAGATGCGGAAAGTCAGTTCCCATCACCACCAACACATCCTCAAATGACATCAATTCTAATTATTTCGTAATTAATTTAGCTGTTGCAATTACGTATGCGAAATTGCTTTTTAAAACTGGAGCGGGTAGCAGTAATGTCAGCTCGGCCCTATGCGGGTGCTGTTTGCAAAACACCATCAGTCCCCGGCGCTGGCGTCCACCTCGCCTTCGTCGTCGCGGAGATGCCTCCCTGGTCGCGGAGACAGCTCCCGGCTGCTGATCCGAGCCTTATTTCTCTGCTGTCGGCGTGGGCTAGGGCGTCACTTTAAAAGACACTTCCTCCCAAATACCGAATCGGTCTTCCTGATAAACAGTAAACATTATTGTGTCCTGAGTAAACATTCCTTCTGGATCAGAGTCCTAAAATAAAACAAGCTGCCGGGGGCGAGATCGTTTAACTTGATAAACAAGAACTTGATAATCAACCGCCACGGAGAGGAGCTACGGTAACCTTCACGAAGAAGAGATTATGGACCACAGTCTACGGGCGGGTCCCTTCTAATCTCTTTTTACAAGGAAAACTAAACGGATCTAAATTTGTTTGTGTGTTGCAGCTATAAAAGTAACAAGTTGTTTCACAGTTGTGTCTGGCTAATCGGTTTTTACACAAACAGCAAATGGTACATGATTTGTGCAAACACATAGAGGTTATTTCTAAATTTAGCTTACACCCCTGGGAAAAGGGAAAGGCCGGGCTTCTTGAATTCACTTTTAGCCTCAAGAAGCTGCTGATCCAAGGCTTCTAAATGACATTGGATAACAGGGGCCTCATTCCATCCCTGATCCTTTGTTACTTATAAAATTACTCGCTCATATTTCCGCGCATAGCAGCAATACCGGCCGAGCCTGCGCCCGCGGCGTGACACTCGGCCACAAGCCGCCGCTTGAGATCCGCGGAGCATTTTTTCCCCTGATATATTCAGCGATGGAGTGTAGAGGAGAGATCCGCCGGCAACTTTCTTTCCAGACACTTACCAACCTTGAACTAGAGCCTAAAGATGACCCTTTCTTTATTTCTGGGCGGGTGGAGACCCAGACCTCAAACCGACCAGCGACTCTTTAAAAGTCCAGGCAGATGTCAGGGATATAGGCCTGGCCATTACCCCCTGAAAAGCCTTTTGGTTTAGGCTTGTTAGACCACGAAGGCTTAGAGCAGCAGAAGAAAATGCAAATATCATATATAATGAACGCAAGCACTTTGGCTTCAAGGGAGGGCCTGAGACCCACATTTTACATGTGCGAACGCGACCACCGGCGTCGAAAGGCACTGAAAATCCCCTCTTATACTGAGATTTAAAGGCAACACGACTGATATCACCTTCTTATTTCACTTAGGCAGATTTATTTGTAATAAAAAGAGGAAGCGGGGTTTTTTTTGGAGGGGGGTGGATTTTAGCTTTCGACTACATACCAATTTAAACTGGTTTCCACTTCCTCTGGCACTCATTTCTAAAAAGTCCATCCAGTTCCGAGGGTTGTGTCCCTTAGAACATCCCTTGGATGGAGTCCCTGAGGGGGTCCTGGTACTTAGTCACTGCTCCGGGAATGGAGGGTGAATTCGGAGGTCCAGGGAAAAGCGAACCAAGGCTACAATATATGCACGCTCTTTTCAGGGCTCTTAATGCCATGGCGGACGTGGCCTGTAGGGGGCGACGAGCAGATGCGAAACTTCGCAGTTTTGTCTCCGAGGGTCCAGACCCAACCCTGAGAGACCTTCCCTCCCAGGCTCTGAGCACCCTGACCCTGTTACCCTGCTCATCCTCCCGGCCTGGGACACCCAGGTCGAATCTCAGAGAAGCTGTTTTTCTCGATCACTCTCTTGGAATGGGCAGAGTCCCGAGGGGAATTTGCCCTAAAGATTGGGAAGCAATAAAGTTTAGTGATGAGGAAACATAGACTGGGAAGCAATTAAGAGTTATATTTGAGGTTATTTATTTTATACGGTTTATAGAAAGAGTCTTGGCAGTGAGAGGACCATGGAAGGCTGATGTGTGTGTGTGTGCGCGCGCATGCATCTTTTAACGCAGGTTCCTTGAAGAACTGTTCTGAAGAGACTATGATCTGAAAGAAAGCCAGTTCCAGAGCCATGTCTATCAGACTCCACTCGTGTCCGTGATGGTGACAAGTTGCAGCATTATTAGCGAATAAACTCCTCTCTGAGAGGTGGATGGGAGGTTGGAAGGTCTCAGAGTGCCCAGGTGGAGTGTGTGTGTGTGTGTGTGTGTGTGTCTATTTCATGGGAGGGAATGATAGGAAGCAGTGGAAAGAGAGAGGTCTTCCAGAGGGAAGAGGACATCCCAATCAGGACATATGTATTTACTGACTGTGACTGTGGACAAACTGCTTGGTTTCTTTGAGTCTGTCCATTCCCTTGTCTCTACTTGTAGCTTGGGCTTGCAGGATTAGGTGAGTTGGGGGGGGGGGGAAGTGTTTTATAAATTGTAAAGACCTAAGGGCATCAAGGTGTTTGTTTGTTAGTGGTTTCTAGAAAGACAAACGGGCTTCCCTGGTGGCTCGGTAAAGTCAATAAAGAATCCGCCTGCAATACAGGAGACCTGGGTTCCATCCCTGGGTCGGGAAGATCCCCTGGAGAAGGAAATGCTACCCACTCCAGTATTACCAGGGAAATCCCATGAGCATAGGAAGGGTTCCGACACCACTTGGCAACTAAACCACCAACCAACAGAAAGGTGAACAACTCTGTTACAAACACCTGCAGTCTTTGGCTGGGTTTTGAACCACTAGATTTTAGGTGTAAAAGACGAACTTTTCTATTTCAGCCCCCCCCCCCCCCCGGCTGTCTGAAAGGATGGAGCGAAAGAGAGGCTAGTCAGAATGGGCTTTTCAAAGGAGGGGGTCTCCTCCTGGTCTAGAGTCCTTCGACCCCGCCCTGGGCTTCAGGAGAAGGCCGGGATGCCCACCTGCTCTCAGTCTGCAGCCCCAGCTCTAGAGGCCTGGCCTATTTCTTTCCGTTGAGTCGTCTACTTTGCTTGCCCCTTCGCTTCCACTGTCCGAGGCAAGTGGGGAAACCTGAGCCCTCCGCTGACAGACGCCCATTAACGCAACGCGCAGCCTCAGGACGAATTAAAGGTAACCAGATCTCAGACCCACGTGAAAGACCACCCTCCCTTTGCCTGCCTCCGACAGTTGGCAGAGATACACCCAGAGCCAACTTCTCTCTCTTAATCATCACCACCCCCTCCCCTTGCCCTCTTAGGAATGTACTAGCCATTCTTTGCTCCCCGCGGGCAACACCAGCCAAAAAGGGCGGGTACGCAGAACAAAATTTGTAAAGAAATGTTGCAAAATCAGCGGAGGAGTCGTAGAAAGCATTATCTTCTTTCTATTTCTCGAGAGGGTGTCTTATATCCGAATTTTTCAAAATAAGAAGGAAATTAGTCACCTCCCTTCCTCCTTCTTCAGAT